TTTAAAACTTTGTTCAGAAGGTAATGTTAAAAAGAGGGTTGTTGATAGCAAAAGAAAAAACCTCGACAACTTCATCTTAGAGAAAAATCCAGTGGATGTCACTGGCTACAACTATCTGATGTTTTGTGTTTTCTGGAACAGAAGTAAAGCCAGGACAAATGGGAACAGCTGGATATGAAGATAGAAATGTAAATATGACAGAAAGATATTACCATAAGAAAAGCAAAGCAGGGAGGTAAATAAGAGCATTGCATACCCAAAAATTATGCTTAAGCAACAGCTGCATAAGTACTTCGCAGTATTTAAGTACCTTCAAGTTACATACTGATCCAACAAGTTCATTCTTTGTTATTGTGCTTCGATCATTTTGTGAAGCTTAAGTTACATGAAGGTTTCCTTGCAAAGTAACTGGAGATTTGAAACCATACTGCAACTTGCACATGCCCTAAGAGACTGACATCAAAGATGTGTACCTGTACTTATAAGCTATACTTTCTTAGAAAGTTAATCTAAAATTATCAATAACATAGATGTCTTACAAGATAAAGTATTTTTTAAGAAGTTTGTTTGTTTCTGCTTTATTTCTTTTAATTGTTGTTCCTTTCATGCACTGAGATCTTGTTACGTCACCATCATGAAAACTTAAAAAAAAAAAAGTCCCCACATCTTCTTAACTATCATCAACAGCTTCCCTGACATTGCGCTGTTAGAGAAGAGTAGATGGAATATGTGACCTTTACGGGCATCAGTCATTTTTTAACTTAATTAGAAAAATCTCAGAATAGCTCCAGAGGAAAACTCTTTCACCACATTTTATGACTAGACTCTTAGTATTAAGTCTAGGATATTGAGGTATTTGAAGAAAGAGGTCACGAGTGAAGGAGAATGTACAGATATATAGAATTGTAGGCAGTAGAGACATATTATACACTCACATTAATCTTTTCAGGTGATGTGAAGTTATATGAAAATAGTTTTGTAATCATAGTACTGTAGTTCAATAATCAGTAAACATTCTGGGAAATGTTCCTTGTAATGCTGAAGAGCTGAATATACCTCTAGAAAAAAAAAACTTCAAAACAGCTATAAAAGGCACTGCAAACAAAGTCAGTGAAGTACCAAAGGTACAGAACTGGAAATGTAAGGACAATACTGTTCCCAGTAAGATAAAAGATAACGTTCCCATTGACTTTTTGATTACAGTGGACTTGTACAGACAAAAATCTCTCAGTTATAACAGAGGGCCAGTTACTACCTCCAGCCAGGGAATGGGCATAATGTTTCTTACTCAGAGTGAGACTATCATAAAATATAGTGAATGTTAGTTCAAAGTCATACTGTTGCAACTATGGAATGAAGAAAAATGAAGCATCAAGTGTGGAATACTTAACTTATCACTCTGACAAATCTATGCTCTCCTTTATAGGCATTGTTCTAAAACATCTCATTTAATTTTAATTGTTAAATTGCTTTGCTGAATATTTCTACTTAATTAAAAGTAAAAAATATATCTCTATGTTCTCACCAATAGCAACAGGACTACTAAAGTTGCTTTCAGCTGTGAACATTTTTTTTTTTTTTAAGAGGAAAAAGATTTTCTAAAGTATAATAGCTTTATGATTTAGCTCGAGATCAGAGTACAAAACTCTGTAAACTCTGATAGTACCAAATAGTATTGAAATGAGAAGAAAGGAAATGGGTCATAGTTAACTTCTCTGGTAGTCCTGCTTAATTTGACTCCACTGTAAATACTCAATGGGCCCAAGTAATCATTTGGAACTGGACTTGGGTGTACGCAAGAGCTTACAAATTTGTGAGAAAGCTGCATTAATCTATGGCTTTTAATCAGAATAACAAAGGTTCCAGTCAACTGCTACATAACACACTAGGAGTCATTGGAATTACTTGCTGTATGTTATCCACATTGCTGTTATTCCCCCCTCCCCACCCCCAAGACACACACAGGAAACAGCTCATTGACAAGCACATTGTTTAGCAGCTTCGGGTGCCACATCTATATAAACTCGTGCCCATGCCTGTTGCATTGCCTACTACACTACTAACCCTAACCAGGTCAGGACCAAATAACTGCACGTATACACCAATATGATGAACAGCAAAATGAAGTTTATTACACGTGAACTCTAGCTTATAAACCCTAAGTGCATCGTCTATGCCCCAAAAGCATGTGCTACACATCAATCAAACAGCTTGGGAGGTCCTGCTGCGTCACACACCGAGGGGTGTCACACAGTCACCTGCTGCAATTGCCCCGCTCCAAGCTCAATAAAACATACCCATTACATGGCAATCTGCCAAATAATCCTACTCTAACCAATTAACCTATTGCCTAAATGATCCCAATGTCCTAAATGTGCAATCTACATAAAGTTCGTTGCCCATATGCCCAGCTTTACCAGTGTTAATATTAGACCTAATACAATTATAACTGAACTACAACTAAATGCAGTAGAGTTAAACATCCCCGTTTCTTTGGTGTACCATCCAGGTCCCACCAGTTGTGTTCTCCATCCTTCTTTACTCTCTCTCTCGGACGTGATGCATCTCACTTTTGCCATGGTCAACCGTGATGAATGTTTTCTGTCCACTGCCTCTGATGCAAGTTAATAGTTGGTGCAAGTTATCTCATGTTCCAACAGCTTCCTTACCAAAGCAAGATTCATTCCAATTGCAGCTGGTGATAGGTCTTTAATCAGCATATAATTAGCCTGGAATAACTGTTGTGATGTCACCAACACTGAAGAATGAAAGCCACATCCTGGTAAAGTTATAGACAGAGAGATTAGACATTAGAGTGATTGCTGATAGGTCTACTGGCACTGTCTATGAATATGAAATTACAAAGGATCCTTATACAAACAAATCCTTTCCCAATATACACCAACATTGTCTCAGGTACCTCATTGGAGTGTACCTGAAAATGACAAACATTTGTTCGATATCAAGGCAGATGTCTCGAGCTTTCAGAGTATTGCTCTCACAAACAAATCCTTGTTGCTTGTTTTCCAGGCCTCCATCTGGCCACCTGTCCCTGAAGGGAACCCATTCTGATGCCCACAATGTATACTGCAGTGGATTAAGTACAATGCAGATGTGTATAGGCATATAGGCCCATTCTGGGCCTCCGTTATCGTTCCCTACTATCAGGAAGGTCTCCAGTACTCTTCCTTCCTCTATCAGGCCACATCTAAACTTCCCACAATCTGTTAGTGCATCCCTCTTAACTCCTAAATGCAAATTCACCTCTCTCCTTCTTTCGCTACCCTTTTCAGTCACAACAGGAAGCTACAGGCTCCACATCCCTCCCCCTCTGCCTGTCTCCCTTTGATCAAGCACTGACTGTTGTAGAGGCTTCCAATTGGTTGCATGCGCACTCAATCTTTTAAAAGGATATGTAGGTCAAGTCAATGGGTCCTGATACAGTGGTAGGGAGTAGGTCCAGCAACGATCATCATTTTGTCTTTCTCCATTGGGTGCAACCTGAGCAGACGGTGCCGGCCAGATGCCACCTTCTCTTTCAGGAACAATCAGGGTGGATGGTGCTGGCTGGACGCTATCACCCAAGCACCTGTAAGTTGCATCGCTTCCCTTTCCTTTCCTACCACCTCCCTAACTTTTGACCAATCTGTACCCAAGCCTTTTCCACAGTCCCCACCCCCCTTGTTTCCACCTCTAGAGAGGAGGCTAGCATCCCACCCCTTTTTCCCCAGCTCACTTCTCCCCCTGTCCCCGCAGGTGGTGTTAGATTACACAGAGAAGGATACAGAGGTTTCCGTGGATATGGTGGGGGGACCATATCCCCATTTCAACGACCTTGGATTCCTGCACTCAGGCAATTTTGCAAGATAAAAGTGCAGACAGTTGAGTGCTGCCTTCTACTTGTTTGTCTGAAGCTGGAGCCGAGGGGGGAGCCGAAGGTGCAGATGAGGTGTTACGCACTGTAGTTGAGGGCATATTTGCGGTGCTCTCTTCCTCAGGGGACCTGCAAGAAAATACGCTCCCCGTGCCATTTCTCCCAGTGTTAGTAGATTCCAACCCCATCATAACACGCACCGCCTCAGGAATTTTGCCCTCCTCCCTGGCCACTCTGAGAGCTCTGAGGATCAGCTCCCAAACTTTAAGCTCTGCAGCTTTTTGCTCCTCCATCGCGTGCTGCACAAGCATGGATGTAAACGAATCCCATCTAGTGGGGTCTAGAATGTCCTGAGGCAAGATTCCACTCCTTTTCCAGGCAAGTAAGTACAGCTGCAATGTCCTTCTCAGAAGGAGCATTCTAGCCAAAATAGTCCTTTCAGAATTGAAGGATTACCTTGACAACTTGCTCCATCACCAGCACAGCGCTGATGTCCTGATCCGTGAGCAACCTGCCACCACGTCACAGGCTATCACCACTCCCAGCTATGGGGGTTGTGCGAAGACTCAATTTCTACCTACCTGAATATATCAGTGGTCCACAGTATAGGCATATGTAGTCACCACAACTATTTACTGCCTTTTCACTGCTGTTGAAATAAATCAAAATAAATCAATTTAGCAAATGGAATCCCTCCCACCTCTCAGTACCATCCACAAATTAAGAGGACATGAAGTATCAAGTGAGGCAAATTTTAGATTCTGAATGATTTCGGGGGAAATCACTCTAATTCACTGTCAGCGATATAGAGCTGAATACTGCTGGGACCAGCAGACAGTATGCATGCTTCAACTAAGTTCAACCATACTACCTGAAGAATGCATATTCTATAATGAACACCTCAATCTAATTTTGCCTTCAGTTTTGTCTCAGATAAAACTAGCTATTCCAATCAAAAGAGAGTTCAGTCTTGAGCTCAGTGAGTGAAGTGGACAACTGGTGAACCAGAACCAAACCAGAACATAAGAATCTTGGCAAAATAAATGCTCAGTATTGTACTATAGAAAGAGACAACCGTTTTGCTGAGCTTCATTTTTTCCTTAGAGAATTCACTGCTTCAAATACACCCTAGGTCAGCTGAAAAAAAAAAAAAAAAAAAAAAAGCATAGCACAACTTCTAGCTTTCCATTTACAGACATATCACTGTCTTATTATTACTAACAGTCAGCAAAGGATTAAGTCATAATTCTGCAGATGAAGAAGGATTCATTGCAGTGTTTGCAAAAGCTGTGAAGGCATCCAAAGCATGACAGTTTAGAGAGTTCACATCCTCTGAGACCATAGCCTCAGGGAACATTGCTCTTTTCCTTTGACATTCAGTAAATATTCACAGGAGGCTGGACAAGGGGTGAAAACACATTCTATTTGCACTCGAGAAAAAAGTCATAAAAAAAAAGAGAATCAATAAATAGAATTGTTGACAACTTTTTACTGAAAATTCTCTACCTAAATATCATATTTGCATCTTATTATCACTGCTTATTTTACTGTGCAGCATATTTCCCATAGTTGGATTTAACTGTAAGGTTAATAATTCAATGGATATTTTCTTTCAGGTATTACTACCTACTTTGAACACATTAACATTCTGCAGGAACCAAACTGTTAATAGTAAATAAATATACACATATAGGAAAATTCACTGTTGCTCAGAAAGTTACCATTAAGTTCAACATTAAGCAAATTCTCCAGCCATGACTTGGACTGCTGATTTGAATATTTATTCATTTTCTATAGTGTTGTAGCCTGATATTCTTGCCTCCCTGCTTTAATGCCACAAAGTAAGTGAAATAGTTACACATATTTAATAAAACCAGAAATGCGGTCTCGTCCTACTTCTTGCATCTCCCCCACCCCAGTAAGGACAACAGGAGAGTCACTATGGACTTTAAGTTGGAAAAACTTGAAAAAAGTGATAATAAGTATTAATATCACAAACCTCCTACATAAGTTTACTTAGCTTGAGCTAAATCAAACAGGAATGTAACAGAATTTCTTAGCTTTCACTAATATCATGCTCTTGACACTGATGTATTTTGCTAAGAAAATATAACAAGAAACTCTCTTGAAAGAAAGTAATCTTTGTTCTTTTTCTCCCTCTGTCCTAGCTATGACTTTCTGGACTCTTGCTATGTTGGATCTAGGTCTGATCTAGAACTTTTGTTTGTTTTCCAATACATTAACTGGCTGACCCTCATTAGTCACAATATGCATAAGCAATATGTGCATTCATAGGTCAGATGAATAGCTATGTTCCCTTAACATATCTTAATCTTTCATTTTAAACAAATGCTTGTGAAGAAGGTACAATTAATAAGATATATAGATGTTAAGGAAGGAGATTCGAGTTCAGCTTCATTCACAAATACTTTATGAATACCTACCACACCATCAACCTACAAGCAATTCAAAGGATGCTGATTCACATGCATGAGACATTTTAACCAGAAAGATGGGAAAACAGGGAGAAATACGTGTCAAGATGAGTGCTCTTGGTAATGCTACAGAGAATGAGAAAGGCAAATTGCATTTTTCTGGAGAATAATTCTTAGGGCTAGAGTAAATTGGCAGCTGCGGACTCTTCAGCCCTGGGTAGCCCATATACCAGACCTAAATGTTCCAAGAAATCAGAGATCTAGTTGTTAAAGATTATTTTTCTCATCTACTGTTTTCTACATATTGTTATACTTACTTGAGTTAGCCATTTACAATTTGATGCATTGGAGAGACCCCTCTTGCTCCTCTTCTCCTGTTGTCTTGGTCTTCAGATCATGGATACAGCACCATCTCAAAGCATGATCTGAAGGAAAAGCACCAAGGTTTTCAAAAATAAATATTTTATGAGGAAATGTGTACACATTTTAACATTAGTTATGGTAATAGCATATATGTTCTCAGGTAATACTAAGACCCTCCAAAAATACATACTGTCCACTACTGTTTAGTATTTGCAGTTTAAATTATGATAAATTGTAGAGATCTATGCAAGTAGCATTAAGTGATCAAAACAAATATACTACAGATATGGTTAAGCTCTTTATAGAGGTCTGAAAATTATTTTGTAATGAATCTTTTGCATCTGTAGTTTAATAGGCTGATCTATTCAACAGATTTTAATGAATTAATAGTCTACAATATGTAATATCAAGGATTAAGCTGTGGAGAAAAAACACCCAGAAATACCTATACAGGAGCATATGTAAGTCACATCACTATTTTCAGAAAATTCATCTAGTTTTTTTGCGAAGTGTTACTAACGAACTTGTTGTGTACAGCACGCTATACCTAGGTTCTACATCAATCATTTCAGCAACGTAAAAAGAAGAATCGTTGTGCTATAAAACTAAAGTTCTAGCATAAGGTGCCTATTTCAATAAAGAACTGGGAGAGAAAATTGAACCAAAAATGTTACCAATTTGAATTCAGCATCTTCTTCATGCCACAGTGGATATGCTCAGGTCTCAGGCTGGAAAAAGTGGTACTGCCTGGTGCAATAGTATAATCTGAATTCAGATTTAAGAGTACTCCAACTGAAATGCTAGAAGAAAGAGACCCAACACTTTTGGGGAGCAGGTACAGACAAATGTCTAGTGTTTTAATATCCTCACTGCTACAATAGAGCAACTACTTCAGCTACTTTCTGGCCTGTGTTTTCCAAATGGCAGCTTTCAGCATTGAGATCCTGCAATTTCTTAAACAAAGAAAAGAATTTTCCCTTTGTATATCAGTAAGGACCATGATCAAGAAAACTATTAAGCTTCTGCTTATTAAATACAGAGTTAAAAAGACATCTTGCAATACAGGCTTTCCAGATCTTTAGTCATTCTCATCTCTTCTTTCCTTATCTGGATCCCATGTATTAACATTCTTGTGCTTTGACTTCATCACTGTGCTCAGCATTTGCTTCAGTGCCAATTTCTGTCTGCCATCTCTTCAGATTTCCATGTTTATTGATCTCACTATTACATTATTCCTTTATGATGATCACTGCACTTAGAACTATAGTCATACTTCTGATGAAATCAATTGCCCTAGAATGACAAAAACAGCAATGTAGTTTTTTTTTTTTTTTTTTTTTTAAATATATAGCTATCTTCAATAGAGGTTCAAATAAAGTAATATTGAAGACTATTCCTTAATTATTTTTTAAAGGAAGCAGATGATTTGTCTGCCTCTTAAAATTTATTAAGGGTAGCTATAACTACTTTTTCTGAATTATGAAAAAGTCAACTAAAACTAAGCTGGATTTTATCATCATGATCACTGTTAAACTCAGAACCTGCCTCTTTTAAAATAAATATGCACATAAGGAGAGAACAGTGTTACCTTAGTTACGTATGCAAAGCAGTCCAGAGTTCATGTACAACTTCTGTGAAGGAAATAATGTTATTATGAGACCTGTCTTAAGAAGCATACTTATACAGATAAAGAGATGTCAGATGAGTATATCTGCCAAAAGCAGTATTATAATTAAATGAAGTTTTTGACTGTTTGAGCTAAGTTTTTCATAATAGAACACACAATGTTAGACAAAAAAAGCCTGGAACAAATGAAGAGGGGAAGGAGAAGGATCTTCAGGAATAGAAGAGAAGCAGGAACTAGGACTATATTCTTATGTGCAATTAGGTGAAGGCAGTGTAGTATGTACTGTCTTCTGGGTCATTGTCTTTTTACTCATTCTGAGTGAAGTTGTCCAGAGCTCAGGCTCAGCAACTTTGAAACAAGACTTGTTTCCCCTCAGTGTAGTCAACTTTGTATGGAACTGATGTCAATCAGTAGTTTTTTTTTTTCCCCAGGCAAAAACACCTCACTGTGAAACCTTCCTCTTTAAAGAGCCCAAATAGTACAATTTAAGACATATTGTCATTAACTCACCTTACTGGTTTTAGCGTATTTATATTTGACTCTAGTTTTATTTTATGATCAGTACATTTAGCACCCTTTATGAGCATCATTAATAGGCGTTCATTAGTAGCAAGCATTTTTTCTTGATAAGGAATTTTTTTTTAAATCTAGGCATTTGATGTTGCTTGCTCCTGCACTATGTTAATATAATCAAAAATACTTGCATTTTCTACCCATAGAAGATCATATTGAACAAATCCTCTGAAAACAGAAACGTGGGCAGTCTCATCCCATTACACTTCCCGCTGCTGTTTCACTGAGCTCACTGTACTCAGAATGAAAAGTTATGTGAATAACCTAAATGCGGAAATAACTAATTATATCAGAGTTGGAATTACAATAGGTCAGTATACCGTAAAGATTTTGAAGTATCACAAATATACCACTCATTGTTTGCCTTACGCTCTTGCCCTGTAAAAAAAAAAAAAAAGGGCAAAATACTCAGGCAAATATTTACACTGTTAATTTATAGTTCATACATCCTGTTTAGGCAGACTATTTTAATAATATTAAAGCAAATCAGGTTCATCTTTACTCACCCTTGATTGATCAGTGGACTTAATTAACAGATAAAACAAACAATACACTATGAAGAATATGCTTCTTGAGTTTAAACGCTGCCACCCCCCCAATGTCTAAGAAGCAGGGAATACATTTGGATGTACAAGATGTTTACATTTGTGTTCTTGTTCTTTGACATATGATATTCCTAGAGTAAGTTTTGACTGCAAACACTATCCTATATTTGTCCCTATTATCTGATATTAAAAATTCAGGACTGCGTAATCTGTTTTATGTCATGCAGTAGGAAATTTGGAATTGTATTTATTCAGTAGCTGTGAAAGAATAAGCTGTTTATTAATCTTGTCTCCTAAAATTCTAGAAATTTCAGTTCTATGTCACTTTCTGCATAACTCAGTTCTGCAAGAACTTTTTGCACTTCTGCTTTCATCAGTTTCAAGTTTCACAAAGTTACAGTATGCTCCACCTCTCCCTCATCTCCTAAGATGCAGCAGCATACTATTTTATGATGGGTTACAAGCATTTAAAAGCTACTGTTTACATTAGCATTCTTTAAGCCATTTTGTAATGCTATAAAGTGATAGAATGCATAGCAAAACTAGCAGAGTAGCACAATCCTAGGCTGCAGCAAATGAGAACAAGCCCAAATGAAGCAGCTGTAGGTACAAAAACAGAGGAAGAAATACTTACTCAGATATGCAGACATCTCCAGAGAGATATCCTCTGCCTCCACTGCCGACCCTTAAATGAGGTCTGGGAAGGGGTGGATCCTGGCTCCACCTCTTCTGGTCACACAGGTGCATTGCATCGCATGAAATCACCTGGGTTGGCCCTGCCTTCCCACCAGGAGTTCAATCACTGGTTCAGGCTGTGACTTAGCATGTCTGTTTCACATTTCTTCGGTCCTCCAAGCAGGCATCCTTCTAAAAAGCACTCACCAGCAATTATTGTATAAATCTGGAAAGCAGAAAGGTGTAATTAGCTGGGTGGAACATAAGCAATCACAGGAACAAAGATAATCAAAGCAAATACTTTGATCTACTGTATCTTTAGTTATTGGTCTTATAAACTACTACAGAGAAAAGAATGTGATAGTGAACAGTGTTGATTTTTTAGTTCTGAACTATAGAAAGAAAATAACTAAATGTAAAGAAAAAATGGATACATTTTTTATTAGTGAGATTAAATTTAAAACTTTGTAATGGTTTGACTTCATTTTGTTTCATGAGAAAGCTTTCATTTTAAGGGTACATAACTATACACCTACATATGCCTTCTCTCCTACAGTTCTTTTAGCAGACATCAAAATAATAGTTATATTTGGTTGTCTGCCAGAGGCATACTAATAATGTAATACTTCTCTTCCCTACTATACAGTTAATCAATAGTAGATCTATGTTTGCTGCTGAAACAAAGAACTTTAATATCACAAAGAGTTTGAGAGAAAAAAAAAAAAATTAAAAATGCCTTTTTTTTTTTTTTTTTGGTAGAAGATATACTAGGAATGAAATCAAAGCACTTTAACTAGTGCTATTCCTCCCAGTGCAAATGTCAACATTTTCTCACATGAATCATAATGTACAGAGATGTGTTTAATGACCCGAAGTTCCTCTGAGATATGAATATCAAGATAGGTTGTATTTGGCCTTTAGGAAAGCCAACCAACAGAAAGAAAGTGATGAAACCTTTTTGATTACTGTACGGCTGCTGATGGATGATCTTAATATCTTCTGTTGCTAGGTATGTTTCATGCATCACCAGTAGAGAGTTTTATTTTTATAGCAAGAATATCTAAAACCAGAGCTAGCTCCTGAAAACAGATAATTTGTGCAAGTTAATAATAATAATCATCATCATCTTCTGATTTTTTTTTTCCCCCACTAAAGAGGGAAGGGAGACTACTAACAAAGTGGATGAAAAGTATAATTCAAATGCAAATGAAGCTAACATTTTTTAATCCGGTTTGGGTCAACTGATTGGTGTTCATATTTGTTTCTTTTCCATTTTTCTTATGGTTCTTTTAAGGTGTTGGATAAGATGGTAAGTAATAGAATATATGTATTCAGTTTTGTTTTCAGTAAGCAACTAGCAAGGATGAGTTGTCTTGACAAACTGTAAATAATGCTTTAGGCTCTGTTATAAAAACAGTAGATCAAGTTCACAGACAAGACAAACATGTAACTCCCTTTGATTTCAGTAAGTTGCATTTAGTTTCATGATCTGCGATAGTGTATTTTTTTGGGGGGGGGATAGAGGGGTGAAGGGGAAGAAGGGCTTCATTGTATTTATCATGACTATTCCAAAGATCAGGACAAATGCACAAAAATAACAATGAAGATAAGACTAATCAAATCTTTTAAAATTTTAAGAAGCACTCTTGTTTTGAGTCAATTCTTGTTTTAGATAAGCCTCTTTACTCATCCCTGTGGCACAGTGAAGCATTAAGCTACATTTAAATGTAAATAACTTCTGAGGTGGATTCAATTTACTTCAGTAAACAACAAGCACATGATGCATAATAAATGCAACAATACACCAAGCACCAAATTCAGAATTCTTAGCCTCCTAATTACATACAGTTCTTACATGTGATAGTTTCCTTTTTTGATGTTTTTTGTATCCAAGTATGTTCAATCTATTTTTAATTAAAAAAAAAAAAAAATGAGATTACTTCTGAACTTCAAATGTAAGAAGGAAATAAGGTAATATAAACACAATCTACAGGTAGTAAGAGTCAAGAATATCTACACAAATTATTCAGAAATACAGATACATTCCAGAAGCATGGGAAGGGCTTTGAATTTATCTTTGCTGATCTAAGTTCATCAGTAGAATACATTATGCCATATTTGTCTTTCTGAAACTTCTGACTGGCATATAAGTGAATCATTTTCAAATTTAGGCCTCTCTGATAAGACTCCTGACTTCATATTGAAAGTACAATTATAGTCTACTTTGTTTACTTCTGAAAAGGGGAAATATATTAGTCATTCACTGCCTGGAACAGATGGTGACTCACACTCACCAAGCGTGGGAGACAGAGTTGCTACTGTGGGTCTCAGATTTTGGGCATATGAATTGATAACATCTTGACTTATGAATTTTTTTTTAGTCCATTGGAGTGAAATGCAGAAAAGATAAAAGAAAATTTACAACATTATGAAATTGCCACTCTGAATCTACTTGAATTGCTTGCTTACTGTTGAACAAGGAGAAACATACCGTAAACAGAATTGTTTCCTGCTGGTTGACAAATTTCTGAAAATCTAAGGAATCTATGACTTAAGCAATTTTATCTCAAATATCTTTTTCTATTGCTGGATAACAATGACATGATGTAAAATTTCTTAAAATAATTAATAGCAACTTGATAGTACCACCAATCCTTTTTCCATCCATCCTGCCAGCACAGTAGGGTAGCCCATAGTGTTGGCGCACTAGCTTAGGATCTGTGAAACCAGATTCTACTTCTAAATGGCTGTATGAACTGAAGTAAGTACTTCAACCTGTTCTGTAGACAGAAAATGCAATGTTTTTGGCAAAATAACTTGCACTTAAATCAGAATCTACTCCCAAAGCAGAGATTTTTACCTTGGACTTAATGAAGTGTTAAAAATCCTTGCATATTTCCACTGTGTTTATTTTTCACAGAATCACAAGGTTGGAAATGACCCACAAGACCATCCAGTCCAATCATCTCCCCATCACCACTGCCGCCACTAGCACTAAACCATATCATGCAGCGCGTCATCCAGATGCCTCTTGAACACTGCCAGGGACGGCAACTCCAGCACCTCCCTGGGCAGCCATTCCAGTGCCTGACCACTCTCCGAGAGAAAAAGTTCTTCCTTATGTCCAACCTAAACCTCCTCTGATATAACTTGCGGCCATTGCCCTGTGTTCTGCTCATTGCCTGGGAGAAGAGGCCAAATCCCTCTTCACAACAACCTCCCCTCAGGAGGTTGTACAGTGCAATGAGGTCTCCCCTGAGCCTCCTCTTCTCCAGACTGAACAATCCCAGCTCCCTCAGCTGCTCCTCATAAGACTTGTGCTTCAGACCCCTCACCAGTTTTGTTGCCCTTCTATGGACATGCTCCAGGACCTCAGCACCTTTCCTGTAGTGAGGAGCCCAAAACTGAACACAGTACTCGAGGTGCGGCCTCACCAGTGCTGAATAGAGGGGGATGAGCACCTCCCTGCTCCTGCTGGCCACACTGTTTCTAATGCAGGCCAGGATGCTGTTGGCCCTCTTAGCCACCTGAGCACAGAGCACACTGTAGGCTCATGTTCAGCCGAGCATCAACCAACACCCCCATGTCCTTCCCTTCTTCACACTCATCCAGCCACTCATCCCCAAGCCTATAACACTGCATGGGGTTGTTGTGGCCAAAGTCCAGAACCCAACACTTGGCCTTGTTGAACCTCATCCCATTCCCCTCAGCCCAGTGGTCCAGCCTGTCTAAAAACCTCTGAAGGGCCACCCTACCCTTAGGCAGATCAACACCACCACCCAGCTTGGTGTCATCTGCAAACTTGCTGAGGGTGCACTCATCCCCTCATCTAGGTCATCAATAAAGATATTAAACAGGATGGGCCCCAGTATTGACCCCTGGAGGACACGACTTTTTATGCACATATGCCTCTATTTTGTAGACTCTTTATGAAGTCTTATGTTATACCAAAGAAACGCACTCTCACTTTGCCATGGTTTCCAAAAAGGGCACCCTGAGACATCCTAGAAAATTATATATTTTGGTCTACAACTTAGGTCAAAAAAGTTAAGTAATAGTTACTATTCAATTCTGTGGATACAGCCTTTTAGATAGTTTAGCTATAGATCTATTCACTGTACTTCCAATTAGTTTTTGGATTTATTTATTTATTTTACACTTCCTGTAGTTTTCACAATTCCTTTACAAAACTATCTCACAGTGATTGCTCTGATTTTCAGGTTTCTCCAAATAAAAGTGAAGTATCACCTCTACTACAAATAGGTCTTTTGTTTCTTTTCTCTCCATAAAATAAATGTTGGCCTTCTGGAAGTCTCAGTACCATTAATTAGCAATTGAAAGTAGTAATTGTGCTTACAGCAGATGGATTTTACAGATGATGCGTTTTGTACCTTATGATATCACAAAAACCTCAATCACAAAATGATTACATCATAGATTCCTGTTCCTACTTGTATGGGAACTGCTGAGTCACGGCCTGAACCTCTGATTGATCACCTGATGTGAGCCATGAGTCAGCCAGAGGAGCACAGGTGAAGGCAATTCACCTGTGCTGCTGGAAGGGGTGGAGCCTGGCTCCACCCGTCCTGGACCTATTTAAGAGCTGGCTACCACAGGGGAAGGATCTCTTCTGGAGATCACCTCTCTTGGTGTCTTCCTTCTGGTGAGCTCAGCCAAAGGGTAAGCTCTTCCACTTATTCTCTTTTGTGATCGTTGTTTACCTTGCCTAATTCTCTTGATTATATTGTGATTATAACATCTTGATATCTATTGGTTATACAATTATATTGTGATTATAACATCTTGATTATACACTACTACATTTTTGAAAAAAAAGTATATAAAGCCTATTGTATAATCTAAGAATTTTAGATTGTTATAATCACAAAATAAACAAGAGAGTTAGGCAAAGCAGGCTATGAAAACAAAGGAGAATAAATAGAAAGGAGAATAAATAGAAAGCTTACCCCTATCCT